TGATTGAAATGCATTTGTCTCCACTCGATGTTTTGCTTAGTGGTGCATTTGTTGGAAATGCAGATCCGAACGCCAGTTTTTGCGCCGTGCTCGTAGCTTGTCTCCACGATGAAGTCGTAGCGCAGGGCACCGAAGGGCAGAAAATGCAAAGCTCAAGAACCCAAACATGAGATTGAAAACTTGTAGAAACAAAATCTTGAAAAGGACAGAACATGCACGAAAATTCCACAAACGCGAAAAAACACGAAACGAACAGCGGAACCCAAAAAGTCAAAAAATACGTACAGCCCCAAAAATGCACGAACATCGAAAAGTCGGAAAGCCGAACAACCCAAAAAGTTCATTAAGTGCAAGAAAACCCGAAAAAATCGAAAAGTCGAAAAGCCCAAAAAGTCCGAAAAGTGCAAGAATCAAAAAGTCGAAAACCCCGAAAAGTCCGAACATTGCAGCAAAACCCGAAAAGTCAAAAAGTCGAAAGCCCGAAAAGTCAAAAACTTTTCGACTTTTCGAGCATTGCTTCGGTCCTCCGCTTATGGAACCAACGCCTGCTTGCGTACTTAGGAATTCTGTTGTATTGCCTACGAAACCTGTTCAGAGGCACCCTGTAGGATCCGAAACCATGGAGTTGAGGCACCTGCAGCTGTGTTTGGTTCCAAGCAGCATCCAAACGGCCATGGACATGCTGAGTCTGAGAGGCACGACGGAACGATGCTAAAGCCACAGGGTGCCCGAATTTCGAGACGTGAGCGACCCTCCTTCCGACAGGCACCACAGTGGCCGCACAGCCCACAAGCTTGCGGCGAGGCTCGAGCGGAGTCTTCGTGAGGTTCGACTTCTCCACCGAAAGAAAGATCTCGCAAAATGTCTGGAAAGATCGAACCTAATATGTCCGTTCCCTCCTCCTGTTCCCCAGTCTTTGGCAGCATCTTGCAGCCAGCTCTCAGATAACTTTGCATCCAGATAGAACTGGTTTCCTAGAGTTTTTGGAAGTTGAGCTGACATGCACCGATATTTGCGTTTGCGGAAACTGTGACACTGTGGGTCCATGACGGTCCTGCCTGGATTGTGTGATTGTGTGAAGGTGCAGCACCGGCTGTCCAGCCACCGGCCGCTCATGTGCGCGGTAGTGGTAGCGGCATCTCGACGAAGGCGGAAGGAGCACCGTAGCTCAGAGAGATGAGCGTACCCACCAAAATGCATCCAGGCTGCCCTGGGCCTTCTCGGCTGCGCGCTCTTGGCAAGACGCGCGCAGGCGACGGAGGGGTGCTTCCCTGGACGGAGAGGGGAGCTGGGAAGAGCCTGGCAAGAGCTGCAAGATAGCGAAGGCGCTGAGCCGAAGCCGCATTGGCCGAGCCAGCGCCGAGGTGGAGTATAGAGCAAAGCGAGTGCAAAGGTGTTTACGGGTGCCTCTGTGTGAAAGGTAGAGGAAGCTCCCAAACGGCTGAGAAGGAGGCGCCGAGTTCCTAAGTCAAAGCCACAGACGGAGATCACCTCGGACATGTGGCTCGGCTTGGGGCAGGAACTTGTCAAGTGCGCGCTGAGCGGCGGATTGGAAATCCCGTCTTTCCATCAGAGGCTGACCCTGAACACCTGCAACTGCGATCTTATTCTCGACACTGTGCCCTACCTGCACATTGCTGTGACCGGGGGATTAGGATTTCATTATGGCAATTCCGCCTATGGGCCGTGCACGAGCGGGGTTTTCAGGAAGGTCGCTCCGATATCCAGTCAAGGTGATCGAGTTCGAGGACCTCCTTGCGCCTAACGAGGCACGTGCGCTGCTCGATGCGGCCCGAGTCACCGCCGAGACGCACCCTGACAGCACTAGCAGCCACTTGTAGTCTTGAGGTGTTTTGAGTCTCCGACAGCTGCAATCATTCTCTGAGGAAAGGATGGGGAGCAGCCTCGTGGCCGCAGTCAGCCTACTTGGTCATGCGGCCGGGCAATATTCCTCTTGGCAAAATTCTTTCTATGTGCTGTCTATCCGAGGCAACGCACGAGAAGTACGGCACGAAAGACCGGGCCATGAATCAAAGCTCCGCTCTAGAATTGCGACGTTTGCAGTGCGTGCGTGTTGTGCGAAGCCCTCAAGTAGCAGCGTGTCCATGATGAGCATTGCAGAGCACAAGACAGTTTGCACTGTCTCATGCCTGATCGGAGATTGCCCCACCTCAACTCAATGAAGGGTGCCAGTCAGGGGCGGTAAGTTGAAAGCAACAGACCAGAAGCAGCAACTTGCATCGCTGTCGTTTCTTGGGCCATGGATGCCTGGGCAGATGCTTTTGCGGCGCAGTCGAAAATAGCGAAGCGATGGTTGATTTATACAACCAAATCTCTAATCATCATCCGTGACCATCCAGACACTCGGCAGTAATCAAGTCGTCATCAAAAACACCTACACCTACACACTGCTTAAAGCCGTTTCCACCTGGAGCACATCTTTCCGAACACAATCCGAGGACTTTGCAAGCCAAAGATCGTCCGAGATCCAGCTGCTTGGACACGAATTCAACGGATCTTGGGCAGTTGCGGCGCCACGGGTCATGGTGAGCAAATGGCTGCTCAACGCACGCAGTGCTCTCTTGAACTTTGTTTGTCTACCATGCCATGAGCGCTTCAAGTTTTGCTGGTCTTGTTGTGGCTTCGAGAGATGGCCAACAGTTGGGGGCGCTAACGCGCGTTGCGGGGGTCCTTGTGAAAGCAAGAGAGGTGGCCAAGATTTGGCCCCACAGCAGCTCTCCACTAGAATCACTAGAACGTGTCTTGTAGGTTTGTCATGGCACCGAAGTTGGGGGCATACATACAGAGGAGAGCTGACTTAGTAGATCGAAGGTGAGCACGGGGAGGAGAACGCAACATTGCCACATGTTGATTAAGTACCGGAGCTATAGTACACGGGACAGTTGTTGCAAAGCCTGAGTTGAAGATTCAAGTCAGGGGCAAAACAAGCACCCTGACGGGCTCCGTAGCCCACTGAAGCCTTAAAGAGGAACGGGACTATGTCGACATGTTTTTAAGGCCGTTATGCCTTGCACCATCTTGCACCTATATTTGTTTACCGTTTCTCCAGACTGAATCTGCTGGTGAATTGCGCGTGAGATCGTCCAGAAGAGTTTGGTGAATTTGCACTACATGTGGAATTGAATATGGAGCTGCAAAGTAGCTCTTTTGAGACAGTTCTGAATCTAAGTGACTAGGAGACAGCGACGAGAAGAGCAGGGAGCAATGTCTCCCAGGATCTGATGTCCTCAAGAATCGCTACTACTGTTTATATTACTGGCTTCTTTACTGTATCGTTGTGTACTTGAGGATGTCGGATAAGCTGCTTGCGTGACGGGATTGTGTGGAGCCTTGCCGGCCTTTAACCGGGTATCGCCGAGGTTTCTCGGAATTGCCTGCCGCACTGGAGCAGCACGGGAAGGGAAGGACTCACAGCTGTTTTGTCCATGCGTGCTTGCTGCGAAGCAAGATCCCTTGCACCCCCCCCCCCCCTCACACAGCCCCGCCCACCCCAAGACCACAAGCAATTGCAACGAACCCTTCCTCAGAAATCTACTGCACCCCAAGCTTGAAGACTGCGGTTTATTCAGGGTTTCTGGAACCCATGTTCTGGTGGGTTTTCTTCCACCGGTGAGGCTCTCAGACCACATCTTTTACGATACCTTAGCCGAGAGGGAGACAAATTGAGGCGTTGTTATCCCGCTCTTTGCAGGGCATGTCTCATTTACGTTTTCTATACGTTGATCTGGCGTTTGTTCTAGATCAGAAGTCGGAGCCTCTCCATGCGAGCAGGTTATAAATTCTTGTGTGTGCATATACATTTATATATATATATATATATATGTGTGTGTGTGTGTGTGTATGTACCATAGAGATACACACACAACTCAACATTGAAGAGGTTTTCTGGCTTCATGTTCCGCATGCTGTTCTTCTCTTCGTAACAACTTCGATCTATACAATCTCTATCTTCCAACAATCCTGCTTTAACGCGTTCCACATGTCGACAATCATGAACGCGCTTCACCGAGCTTTTTATTTAGACTTTAGAGGACACGCCTGACGGTTTCCAGCAGAAGCTTCGAAGTTTGCCGCTCACTTGCAGTACAGGCAAAAGGAGCTTTGCTTCGCTAAGCTTTGAGCTTCGCTACAGGTCCGCTGGCAGCAAGCCCCTGGCTTGCGAGGCGGTTCTGGGGATCCTCACCTTGAACCAGGACGAAGCTTTGCTGTGCTGCGCATCACGTCGCGTCGACGCGTCGCGATCGCTTCCTGAGGATCTTTTCCTGCTCGTCGTGACAGATGCCGTCACCGTCGCAACTCGCTTGAAGACTTTGAGAGGGCGACCCAAAGGAGCCCTGGTCCTGAGGTCGATGGCAAAGAAGCGATTCAGAGAGTTCGGAAGTGCGAAGCTCTTCCGGCCGGTGAGAACAGCAGTGGCTCGGCCCATCTTAAAAGGCATTTCAAGCGGGGTGCTGGTGAGCGCGAAGCGGGCGAAGCGCGGGCGAAGCGAGGTGAAGGCGCCGAAGCAGCCGCGACAGCAGCTGAGATCTGCAAGGAAAGTGAGAGTGGCAACGGTACTTTTTTTTTGCTTCGACCAAGTTTTGCTGGCCCTCATGGCCTACAACAAAGATCAGGTAATGTCGTGTGCCACCTGTCCTGTGCTGTGCAGCTGCAAGACAAGGAGCAAGGAGCGGATGTAAAGCTAGCAACATATATTATGTGGATGATTCTGTAGATTGTGGTGATCTTTGGGCTTCCAAAAGAGTACGCCGCTTTGCAGTAAAGACCCCAGAAGGAACGACAGAGAATGACCCTGATTCCTGCTCTACAATGTTTCTAGATGTTGGAGCCCAAGGTTACGCAGCTGCTCGAGGAGCACTTCTACTTCTCGCACAGTTTTGATCTCACTCGCAGGCTCCAGCAACGGATGGAGCCTAGACATCAGGCAGTGGGTTCTGCCAGAATTCTTTGGCACTTTGCTGGCTTGCACCACCAAGGAGAGGGAAGCGAGCCCTTCACTGCTCCATGGCACGGTCATGAGCATGAAATCATCCCAAACGCCATGGTTGCATTGTATGCAAAGCTTGGCCGGTCACTACCGCATACCCCCGTCATTGAATTGCCAGATCTTGCGCAAGTGAATGCAAGATAGGTTGCACGCAGATCCTCGATATGCCGGGAACCTACTGTCGGCTGTCGGCTCATGTTGGCTGCACCGGTGGCCACTTATTGGGCCACCCCTAGGTTTGGAACCTGTCTCTCTGTGAGCCGCTGCTGGGCCAGGGAGCTGCTCGGCTGCCAGGCACATGCACCTGCCGCGTGCACGGGCAGCACGGGCATGACTGAGGTTACAGAGCGATGGTTCACACCTGCCACTTGGCCCAAGTAGTCTCGTGGAGACAGCAAACGATCCGGGCAGCTGAAGAATTCTCAGGTCATGCAAGGACACCTGGGCGAAGCCGTCCTGGGGTAGATTTTGAGGGCCCTACCAGGATGCCTCGGAACCCTTGCGTTTGCAGGATTCGTCCAGCAGCAGGAGCTCGCGCTCAAGACACTCAAGACACCTCAACCTCTCCGTTTGCTGCTGGTCGCTCGCAGGCCAGGTGCCTCTCTCTGGTGCTCCTTAAAGCGATGCTCCAATGCGATGCAAGGAGCCGGTGGCATGCGGGAACCCGCTACAACGCTCGCGGCCTGGATGACGACTCCGAGGCTTTGGCACCGCTGTCACCCCATCTCTGGATCACAGTCTTGGAGCTCGGGCAACCCTCTTGGAAGGCTGCCAACTGGGTTGAGAGCGAGATGTTGGTGAGACGTCCAGGAGGCTCAGAGCGCTGGCTTGCGCTGACGCAGGCGCCGGCACCCATCCGAGACAGACAGTGAAAAAAAAAACTTCTGCATTTGCTGTTTCGCCCCCATACTGTAACGAAGACGACCGGTATCCTTGTCCAACTTCTTGTCTCAAGGCCTGTACGCGCCGAACGCATGCCCGAACGTGTACCGGAGGTGCTGGGTCGTAAGATGCATAGCCGATCATAGCCGGAATTGCCGTCAGGAGATGCACAGCAACCACAAGCGGACAACAAGAAACCACAGAAACAGAGCACGTAACAGAAGACCAGCAGCAAGAAAAAGAGCGATCTACCATGAGAAGAGGTTTTCAAGCATTGTCCTGACGCCAACCAGAGCCCTGGTCAGCAACGTTTGCAGGTCCGGGGCAGCGCACCTGTTCACTGGGAGCAGAAGCCCAGCTCAGGTGTCACAGTGACTCGAGGCTGGGCCTGTGCAATAGCTTTAGCAGGCCTTCAGGCTAGAGTCCGAGCCTGCAGCTTGGAGACCTGTCGGATGTATGACGATGTATGTGGATGCGGAATGCACGAGCAGATACTGTGATACGGGTGGCTTGCCCCCAGAAACTATGATCCTCGACGACGAACGGACCCCATCAGTCAGAAAAACTGCAAGACGTGTCGCCTGCACTAAGCAGCAGTAGTAGTAGTAGTAGTAGTAGCAGCAGCAGGAACCTACCACACCAAAATTGCAAGAGCTGTCGCTCGCTGTGGATATTTGGAGAAGAGTGGATGCCCGATGTGCACGCCGAAATCAAAGAGCTCCGGTCCTTCGTAGGACCGGCATTTATTCTTGCATTGACAGGTGCGGAGCTGGTTGCTTTGAGCTTCAAGAAGCACCAGGCCTTTCCACATAGCATCGGGAGTGTGGCTTGGGCATGACCTTCGACCCTCGAGATTTATTGAGCTTGCGAGGCTTGGATACGAGAGGAGTATGGCGAGGTGTTCCTCGTGCCCAGGATGGCAAACAGGGTCACAGCCCGTAAAGGGGTGTTTCATCATGTTTGTGCTTCAGATCTCTTCCAATTCTTCCAGACCGAACCAGCAACTTTCCGCACAGCTCAGAAACAGATTGGCTCAACAGCCACTCTTCGGTTGTTGCTTGCAGGCTTCTTCGTTTTTGAATTTTGGGACACAATGACAGCCTATCTTGAATCAAGCCCCTGTGCTTCAGAGCAGCTTCTTTGAACAAGGAATGGCGCCAGCGATGCCAAAACAACATGACGCAGCGTTTTGCCCTGCACAACACACCTCTCCTCGCACACACTGCCTTATGAATTGCCGCCTCCGTGGTCTTTCGTTGGCGAGCACCTTAACCTCTTGGTGTGGCGGCAATGAGAACGGCATAAAGCTGTAAGGGCACGCCTTTCTGCCTTCTGCGCAGCGTCCCAGCGGATTGCCATCCCTCGGCCCGCGATATAAGCTGCTTGAAGAATGTGTGCATTACAGGGGCCTCCTGAGCAAGAAGGAATGGAACACTGCAGAAAGATGCCCTCCAAGTGCAAACGTCTTCGGCAGCTGGCCCAAGATTACGTCGGTATGGGGTCCTACTTGTAGCAAATACTTGGAATCGTGGCTTCATGAGGTTCGTATGGTCGGAGAAAGTCTGTCTCGGCTAATGTTCCGTGATGGAAGCTCAGATCTCCGAATGAGGTGAGCCTGCTGTCGCAGGCCACCTCTAAGCGTGACACAGAAGGCCTGGTGAGAGTCCTGGGAGCCATGGCTTCTTCCGACTGCGTGCCAGGTCTGCTGTCTGAGGCACTTGCACAGCACTCCAGGCCCCTGACATGTTTCGCTCACGAAGCATCGCCTCATGCCGACCCCTGCATGAAATCTCAGATTCCGTTTGAATCCGACGCTTCGATCCAGCTCTCAGCGACCAGCTAGTCATGTTCATTTTTTGTCAGCTTTTTTGGATTTTGGCGCATTGAAGTCATAGCAAGAAGCTTAGCACTCGTTATTCCCCTCGGAAGGAGGTCAGCCAGCACAGGTCGTTCCATCTGGTGGCCTCAGTTCGAGATCGCACCCCACATCAGCAGCCGGTGCAAGTGCAGCCCCTCCTGCGCATGCCAGCACAGGATTCTCCTTGACCTCAGCGTAAGAGTCATGTTCTGATACGTGAAGATTGGCGCCGCGCCATCTGGCCGCAACCTGACAATCTGCACGACATGCAGCGAATAGCCGAGATCGAGTTATGAGCTTGCCCCAGAATGAGGCCATGGAAGATAACGAAGAGGCAGATGTCAGCCCTCAGAAGGGGAAGACGGAGCCATCAAATGGACTCAATTTGAGCCTTCTCATGCGTTTGTGTGGACACTCTGCTGCAGAAGAAAACGCTGTAACCCTTGCTCTTGGCAGTCGCAGACTCACTGCTCTCTGAGGTACCTGGAATGACATTTCGTTCGCACTCATCATCCTGTTCTGTATCGCCGGTCTGGGCCACTCTGACATAGCTCCGACATGGCGGTTCATGGACGGCCGAGACGCAGGGCCCTGAGTGCTTAAGGCTTATAAGGTTCAGCCTGTATGAAGAGACTCGTGGCAGATGCAACGTTGCGCTCGGAGTCTCAAGCCGTCCCAAGGAGGGACTATCGCAAGTGGCGTGGGCCTATCTGCTGGCAGCACCTCAGACATGCATCCGAATTCACCTCGCCTCACCCTCCTCATGCTTATCTGCCAACCCTGTCAGCAGCACACTTTTCCTGTCGTAAAGACTGTTGGTGTTCTGGGCTTTGGGCAGCTGGACGCGCTATTCGCAATGAAACACGATCGCCCCCAGGACGTCACTGCAAGACTGTTGGGACACTGTTGGCGTAGGCTTTCGAGCGAACTCGGAATCCTGAACTCTGAGATCCCCTCGATGTCTTGTCGTGGTCGAAGGTTGTAGTTTTCAGTGGTACTCAACACCCCTTGGCTGCTGAAGCTACGTGAGGCCGTTCGAAGACCGGGACGACTGTCAGAGTCCTCTCGGAACCGGACAACCAAAAATGATCTGACATGGGCCGCAATCGCCAACCCGAGACTCAAAGGTACAAAACGCGAACTGTCTCAGTTCAATCGCGGCTCCGTAACATCCTCCAGATGTTCTGTGACTCTGTGCCAGACCCCTGTCCGTTGCGGATGCAATGCCCAGGCTGTCATGACCATGACCGCATTCGTCTTCGAGCTGACAACTGTGCTGGTTGAGTATAGCCGCTTGGCGGCACTTGCCTGGTTCCTGCCATCTCTGAATGATGGGCAGTGCTCTAAGAGCAAACGGCTGGAACTGGGCATTCCCCCGTTTCGTTTGATCCGAACATGTCGTGAGAATCGACGACAGGTCCTGCGGTCCTGAAGAGTTTGGGGCCGGGCTGCAGCGGAATCCACTGCCAAGATAACAAAGTGATGATGATGGCATCTTGTCGAAAAGGAAGCCACGCGCTTGGCATGGCATTCGTGGCAGTCATCGGCGTAGTCGTAGTGACAGCAGCAGCAGCAGCAGCAGCAGCAGCAGGAGGAGGAGGAGGAGGAGGAGGAGGAGGAGGAGGAGTAGTAGTAGTAGTAGGAGCAGGCCCCCCCCGCCGCTACCAACCACCTCTCCTTAACACAGATTAAGAGCACATCCATGTTACTGTATTTACAGTAGTTTCGTGATGTCGTAGTCCAATACTATTACCAACCACCGCTGTTGAGGGGGGGGGCGGTGAGGATTTTAAGGGGCACGTCCATTTTATTTTATTCGGTATTTACAATACTGTCGTGATGTTGTAGTCCAACTACCAACGATGACGATGATGGGTTTATGCAGGCAGCAGGTGGTTGGTAGGGCGGTGAGTCGTAATAGCAGTAGAAGTAGTAGTAGTAGTAGTAGTAGTAGTAGTAGGAGTAGTAGTAGTAGTCGTAGTCGTAGTCGTAGTCGTAGTCGTAGTCGTAGTCGTAGTAGTAGTAGAAGTAGTAGTAGTAGTATTAGTGCTGATAGTACTTAATATTGGTGGTTGTAACAACGAAAGAAAC